CCGCTGCCGCCTACACCCCCCGCCGTTGAGCCCGCCAACCTCGGCCGACCACCACCAACCTCCGTCGACCACCGCGTACCGTCGTCGACCACCGCCTACCATCGTCGACCACCGCCTACCATTGTCGACCACCGCAGATCGTCGTCGATCACCGTTGATATCCGTTGACCTCCGCCAACTGTCGTCGACCATCGCTAACCATTATCGTCAATCACTATCAACCATACGTCGTCACTCATCGTCGTGTGACATGAGCTCATCATTACGGTTAACGTGTCAACGACCTACGTGGTTCACAGCTCGTGCAACTCCCGACTTTGGCCCCTACGGCCTACAGATGTCATTCATATTTATCCACTACAACTTACGTGGTTCACAGCTTATGCAACTCCTGATTACGTCCCTCGAGACCTATGGATATCATTCATATTTGCCCCTACGGCTTATGTGGTCCACAACTCCTGTAACTACTTACTACGGTTTCTTACAACTCGTGCAACTCCCGACTTTGGCCCCCACGGCCTACAGATGTCATTCATATTCATCCACTACAACTTATGTGGTTCACAGCTTATGCAACTCCTGATTACGTCCCTCGAGACCTACGGATATCATTCATATTTGCCCCTACGGCTTATGTGGTCCACAACTCCTGTAACTACTTACTACGGTTTCTTTAGCCAATCAACGTTTCTGGTGCAACCATTTACAACACATACAACGAACTACTATCTTCACAACAATCAACAATAACCATTGCAACTTGTTCTCACCAAGAACTTCAGCCAGATTATAGTTATAAAACTTTGTAATTTCATCTTCCCTAATTTAGGAAAAAAATGAACATGTGTATTCATCATTTATAGTAGATTATTTCAACCGAGCTAGATCCTTTTGTTTTTTCCCCTTTCAAAGGTTTTCCACGTAAAAAATCGAGGCGTCTCCTCTTACTTACTTTTCTACTGTTATATGTGTGTGTTGAATTCTTATGCAACGCTAAGACGATAATCTATCACTCACCACAACGAATTTTCTTGTGCGCATCAAGGTCAAAGTCGACCGAGCCTAAAAGCTTATAAGAAAATTACTAAGTGATCCATATAAAAGCCATTCTTCTGAAAATGAGTCAGGAGGGTGTCTAGAACATTAACTTCATCATTTATAGTAGATTATTTCAACTGAGCTAGGTCCTGTTTGTTTTTCCCCTTTCAAGGGTTTTCCACATAAAAAATCGAGACGTCTCCTCTTACTTACTTTTCTACTGTTATATGTGTGTGTTGAATTTTTATGCAACGATAAGACGATAATCTATCACTCACCACCACGAATTTTCTTGTGCGCATCAAGGTCAAAGTCGAACGAGCCTAAAAGCTTATAAGAAAATTACTAAGTGATCCATATAAAAGCCATTCTTCTAAAAATGAGTCAGGAGGGTGTCTAGAACATTAACTATAAGAAAAACGACTCGATACAATAATATATCTTGTAAAAGAGTCATTTCCACGAGGCAAATAAACTCTTTGTCATGGATTGAAGCTAGAAAACCAAGCTATGTTAGTCGACCAAACCCTTGCGATTAAGCTTAGCCAACCGGGCCAACTCAGTCGAGCAAAGCTAACTAAATTTTAAGCTTGTCAAACCATGCATGACCATACCACGATTCTTCACTTATAAAATACTAAGAATATCCAAATATAGACCATCTCTCAAGGAGGATAAATTTTCAAATTAGATGGTATAAATGCCAAAAGTAAAATTTAGATATTAGAGATATAAATACATAAAAATAGGATGGTATGTATGTAAATTTATCTAATATTTAAATATTAATGGTAGAACGTTGGTTTCTTTTTGGGTGAAATTTAATCAGGTGAATATAAAATATCCAATATAAAAAAAACTTCGGTACGGCGCCTAAGTGCCGACACGCTTTTCCCTCTCCTTTAAATACCCTTGTCACCTTTGACATTTTTACGCTGCTCGTTGCTCAGAGGGAGAGAAGATCGCCGGAAAATATTGCCGACGGGCTCCTACCTTCGGCGCCACCTCTCAATCCAGCGTTCCACCAGTCAATCTCGCACGCCCATCAATTCATCACGCCTTTCACCTTTAACCCCTTGTCTCCATCTCGAAAGTCAAACAGCCCCTTAGGGTTTCCAGGTTCTCAGTGATGGTGGCGGTGGAGACCGTCGGCGCGATTGAAGTGGAGGAGCGGATCCCGAAGGAGGCAAGGCGGATTCTACACTCGCTGGCATCGGAGTGGAGCGATGTGGCGGATTCGCGGGCTTTGGAAGTGGTGCAGCTCAAGGGGGCAATGACGAACCAGGTGTTTCAGATTAATTGGAGGGTGGATGGGATGAGGGATAGGAAGGTTTTAGTTAGGATCTATGGGGAAGGGGTGGATTTGTTATTTGATAGGGCTGATGAGATCCGGGCGTTTGAGCTTGTGTCGAGGCACGGGCAGGGGCCGCGATTGCTTGGGAGGTTCACGAATGGACGCGTGGAGGAGTTCATTCATGCTAGGGTATGGTATTTTTTGGGTATTGATGATTTTTTCTAAGCTTTTATTGATTTTTTTTGCCTTTGTTGTTGATTTGTAGGAGATTAGCTGATTCCTCTTTTATTTTCCCTAACTGGATTTATTTCCCTAAACTGAACGAGTTGTTATTTTAATTATAGTTCCCCTCTGAACTTTCTAGGAAGCCGCTGGGTGATGGAATGTATTAAACTGCAGTCTTTGGTCTTGGATGCTTTCTTTTAGAAATTGTCCGAATTTGCAGGAGACGTGATGTATATGTGTATATATATATATATATATATATATATAATGCAGGATAACTTCAAATTTGTTTTATTTTTATGTATCATTTTCAGTACGTGGTGATTTAATATGAAAAAAAGCGACCTTTTTTTGGAATAATTTATTCTATAACTTTTTCAAAGTTGTATTTAACACATCGCTGCTTTACTGATTTTGACTTTATAATTTTAAAATTTTATCTTCTTCAAATCACTGTCAGACTTATCTTGGCACTAACTCTTGCAATCTGTTTTTTGTCAATATTGAACATGTTTAATTCTAAACTCAGTCTTAACCCAAACTTTGGCTAAACTGGGTTGCATCACAAAAATTTTATGACCAGGATTTGCTTTTTCTTTAGCTAAGTTGCTATGATTTAGTAACGGCAAGAAAGCCGACTTCGTTTTACGCACTTTAATTTCCTGGCAACAATTCGCCTTTTAAAAGCGCATGCCTTGTCGCATACAAGTTTTATGATTATATTATAATGCGTGGTAGGTACATATGGTTTGCGTGTACTTGTTATTTTTTTTTTTCAGTTTAAACTTTTTCTCAACCTTTTTATTAATCTTTTGAATTTCATGGTTGAATTTACAATCTTTTTGACTCTCAAATTATGCTTTTGTTTTGTTGAATATTTTACAAATCTGCAGGCTCTCGGGCTTCTTCTCTGCTCTTCAAAAACTTGAGATGACTTCTTTTTTCGTATGTTACTTGGCTGGATCTAATTCCCGAAATTGAAGAAGTTGTCTTATTGTATTTTTTTTTTAATTCATGCAAAACAATTTGGTGCTCTTTTCTAGTAGAATCTCAGTTTTTGATCCCCTTGCCCGTCTTCCCCTATCTAGGGATGGTTTTTGTTGAAGTATTTTGCTACTGATTTTCACCTGCATGCATTATCTTCCTTTTTGAGGTGTTGTGGGGTTTAAAATGGTAATGCGTGTCCAGACATTGATAATGGGAAAATGTTTGGGTATGGACATGAGACAATTTTTGTAATGGTGAATTTCATTTTTTTTTTATTAACTTTGAGATGATTGAACTAAATGGCTAATCAATCAAAACTTAAATCCGCTCATTTCAAAGCAAAATAGAAGTTAAAAAAATCATTATGCCCGAATTTTTATTTTGATTTCTAGATCCAATATATTTTTTTGATAATTTGTACATATTATCGAGAGTACCATACTTTTTGTCATTTGGTTATGCCAGCTTAGCATATGTTCGCCGCTTGTGTGATTTATGATTGTTTTAAGGAGGATGTACATACATACCACTCAATTCCTATGTATTTACATATCTAACTTCTAAACTTCAGTTTTTGCATACATGCCACTTACCTGTGTATGAAAAGGTATGTTTCAAGTTTTAAAAGTTAAAATAGTAATATGAAAGATTTAAACTGTATAAATGTAAAAAATAAATTTTAGGTGTTTGATATGTAAATATATAAAAATTGGTAAGTACATATGCAAATGCCCCTAGTTTGAAAAATTTTTGGCAGAATTCTCTCGTGAAGTGAGATAAATTTTTTCCCTATGTTTATAAATATTTTAAAATTCTTTGTTTTCAAAAGTAGATATTAAGGGTGGACTTTTAAAGATCTGGTTATAATTGGGAAGAAGACTATTGAAGGCTTGGTCAATTGATACTTATTTTCTCATACTTGACATCTTTCCCATATTCTGAATGTGGATGTCTTGCTTTGTATTATTTACTGGCCGTGTTATGGTAAAGCACACACGTTAATCGCACAAGTATACATATCAATCAAGTGGTTAATGAATTTTGAGTCTAAGAATCGTATTGTTAATTTTCAAATAAGTATAAATGCTAGTTTACTATTCCTAAGTTTATTTCAAAATATTTAAGATTTTTAGGTTTGAAAATTTTTAATACCTAAAAAAGAAAACTTAAAGCATGAGATTGTGTTTTTCTACTAGCCGGAAAATTCTTTAATTGGTTTTGTAAAACCTAGGTTTCTTTAAGCTATTCTTCCAATGCAGTTGACAATTTGGGACTAGTACTTCTTATTCTCTCCAAGATATAAAAAGGGTTAAAATTTCATATTATAATCATGTTCTCTTAACTTTGCAAGAATTCCTAGACAACCAAATTCCCCTAAAAGGATTGTAAGAGTCGATGACAATATTCTCATTCCAACTAATTTTTTTTTTTAAACCTAGTTGTGCTTTTAGCCTTCTTCCATGGTCTTAGATTACATCTAGTTACAATAATCTAAATATTAATTTGAATATAAATCAAAATTAGAAGGTTAAAACATCAACTTAAGATTTCAAAAGTTTAAGAATCTAACTTGATTTCCTTTAGATTTTAAAGAAAAACTAATTCAAAAAAGAGATTGTTTAGTACTAATCATTGCTTAAAATAACAACATAAAGCATTAACTCCATTCAAACCAAATTTAATCAAAGTACAAATTAGATAGAAAGAACCAGGATGACGAAATCTTTCTCCCCAAAAATAGATTGCTTCCTTGATCTCCTCCTTACACACTACAGTGACAAAAACACTCACTCATTTCAGTAAACACAAAACACTCACTCTTTAATCCGCTCCTCTTCATCTATATCTAAAGTGTCACGAGAATCTCCAAAACACTCACTCTTTAATCCACTCTTGCTGTTCATCATGAGAGTCTCCAAAAAAATATCCAATAGAAAGTTTCTCCAAAAAAATCATCAAAATCGCCCTAAGACTGTGGGCGACGACGACGCTAACAAGGTGGTGCCGAGCTGTTGGTGTGGGCGAGGCTGTGCTGGTCAAGGTGGCACGACAATACTAACTTTGGACGCCGAAGCGTTTGCCACCTGGCGCTCCAATGTCCTACTATTTGTCTTTTGTTTAGAATTTGGTACCTTTTATCCGCCGATGCACCGAGGGGCTAAGGCGTCGGGGCTAGGCATTGGAGCACATGGATATTGATGCTTGGATGTTATCTTCTTTGAACTTTGCAAATATAGGAGTAGCATCTGGTTCTAAGGCGCTCTCCTCAGAAGTCATGTCGCTTACCTTCCGACTTTGCTTATTTTAAGTGCCTCTGCTTTTTTTTTTGTATACTATACAGACACACCAAATATACTCACAAGAAGCATCAAATGATACAAATAATACAAGATGCTACTTATTGTACTTTTTTGCTTCTATTATAAAATGACACAAGTAAACACGCCATACAACATTAAACATTTAATACTCATTATATGCACTTATTGTACTTTTTTGCTTCTATTGAAATAATTAAATATGAATCCTATCTTTCAACCAAATACAGCAATTCAAGCTTCTAAAGTGGATAATACTTTAGTTGATGGGTTTTATTTGGTTTAATTGCATTTGAACATACTCAAAATGTTTTTGAGCTTTTTTTATGGCAAACACGTTGTAAGATTGTCTACCTCTGCTACAATGTTGTATTTGGGCTTTTGTATCTAGTATCTTTTAAAATTAAAAATTTGGAAGTATACTCACTATATTGGGAATTGCAAGATAACTGGGTATAATCATGTTAACAGCATGGCAATCTGGTTTATTTATTTATTTTTTAAGTATGGGAAATTTACTTACATACCACAATTCCTATTTATTTTACACATCTAACACCCAACGTTTGATATCCACACTTCTAACACCTCGGTTTCTTAAACCTATACATGAAAAGGTGTATTTCACTTTTGAGAATGTAGTGATGGTGATATTTTTTTATGTGATGTTTAAGATATTATTGATATACATGTAAATATGAATGTTTAGGTGTTTGATATGTAAATATATAAGAATTGTGTGGTATATATGTAAATGTCCATTTAGGTTTTTCTAAAATTGTTCTGAACTTATCTTCTGTGTTTGTGATAACCAGACCTTATCAGCAGCCGACCTGAGAGACCCAGAGATATCTGCTCTCGTAGCATCAAAACTTAGGGAGTTTCATGACCTTGATATGCCTGGTCCAACCAAAGTTATGTTGTGGGATAAACTAAGGTATAATCCAACTCTACTCAATCATGTATTCATTTATACTGCTATTAGGCTAAACAATTTTATAACATGGTTAAATTAACCAAGTACAAGTATCTGTTTTCTCTAGAAACTGGCTCAAAACAGCCAAGGGCTTGTGCTCTTCTCAAGAAGCTGAAGAGTTTCATTTTGATGCCTTGGATGAGGAGATCAATACTTTGGAGAAATTATTGTCAAGGGATGGACAAAGGATAGGATTTTGCCATAATGATCTTCAATATGGCAACATTATGATGGATGAGGAGACAAGACAGATAACTATAATTGTGAGTCTTTGCTCTATATTCTCTTACCTCAATTAATTTCTGTAAATGTAAATTCCCTTTAGAAGATTAAGGTTTTTAGTGAGCATCTAGTTCTCATTGCTGTTGAAAACAAAGAATCATTTGATTGGAGTAACAAACTGAGAGGAAAAAAAAGGAATATCTTATGTTACATCATAAACTTTGAAGAGGTATAAGCTATTGATTATAGGATTTTCAACCATAATATGCACGTATATCTGCTCAATTAAATTAGATTTAGAAATGTTAAGAATGGCCAGTTGAAACTTGTTATGTTATTGTTTAACTTGCGTCTACTACTGATTGGCAAATAGGAATAATAGAAATTAGGATAATCGCTCCAATAATTTTTATTCAATCCCATATCCAATTAAAAATTAGATGTTAGAGAAAAGCACCCGCACCCGATTGTAATGACAATATGAGATTGTAAAAAATAATCAAGGAGAATACCTAGAAAGAATCATGGAGAGTTTATGTTTTGATGAGATTCACCTATCCCAGATATGGAGATAAATGTCCAACAATTCAAAGATAAAAGTATTATATAAATATTTACCCTCAAAGAGTTTTTCACTATCTTCTCACCAATATATTATATCCTCCCTATTTCTTATTCATTCTCCAATGTAAATAGTGATTCCTCTATTTGCTATGCTCACCAGAGATAGAGAAAAATATGTCCCCTTTTAGGTGACTCGGTCTGATCACCCGCCGCTATATCAATAGTCAATTTCTTGTCATGGAGGCCTCAGGTTTCAACTGTTATCCTCAACTTTTAACGATCATTATCAACCACTAATAAAGTAAACCTTTTTATGATACTGAGAAAATAACTAACCTCCAATTACTCCATTGATCATTTCTTCAAATTCGTAATTGACACTTGGCTAAATGAAGGATAAAAAAGAGTGATCTTGGGATCATTTATTTTTTCTTCTTTTATACATTAAAACAAGATAATTTTCATATGAAGACATCAAATGGTGTTAACTGATAAAAGAGGCTTATTATTTTTAGACCTTGTGAGATTGTGAGTAGTATTTTAAACAGACTTGGGACTAACTTCAGGAAATAGAAGTGATTCTAAATTATTTGGGGAGGCAAACCTGCAATAATTCTGAACAATTAATACCAAGAGGATCAACCAAAAGAACTGGATAATTTCTTGGGCATTGTGGTAAATTATAAGATCCAAATTATGATTAGCACTAATTACTGGCAAAGAGATTGGTAAATATTGATTAGATTTTCCTGAGCATTAAAACAAGCCTACAAAATGCAGGCATGAAGGATTCGGTATGGATGGCAATTTCAAAATCAGAATCAAACAGAATAAAATTTGGTTCAAATTTTATTCAAGATCCATGAATTTAGAATATCTTCAAACTCTAACTTACATGAGGAAATATGAGTAATTGAGTTCTCAGATGCTGACAATTCCCCAATTTAAGATTAATTTTTTTATATTTATCTTAAGCAAGATATTCATCCGTATATGACAACCCCTCTCAATTAACTATGGGGTTTGATTGACTTAATTTATTAGTGGTAAGATTATTAATCTTTATCACAACGTTTTGTTTACTATATACTGCTCCTTAATCTTGGTAAACCATCTTCCATACAATTCCCATCTGCCCTTTGCAAGCTCCGACATGACAAAACTTATCCCACCTTGCACCTCCATAATCACATCAATAGTTTTGCCATTGTTTTGATGATTGAAATCATATACATGGTATTTGGTAGTCGAGCGCCCACAACTTCTACTGTCTCATGCTCCACTGAGTCTAGTGGTCCCATTGAACCCACGCCGAGCCCGCCAAATAATCTGAAGATCTATTTTAAGCGTAAGTCTAAAAGGGCAATTTAGTCATTTGTTAGTTATTATTGTTTGAAATAATAGAGTATGCAATGGGTCGGAAAATCTCTCCCAAACTCTAACTCTATGATTCAAGACAACAATCACATACCCTCAAATCTCCAATCCACTCCCCATTAGAGCCATAGTGATGGTGGATGTTTTCATCCTCATATTCCTCTTTTTTCGAGTACTTTTCCTTTGATTTATCAAAATATTCCCCGATTAACCCTTTGGGTTTGCAAATTAAACTGCTGACGGGGTCTCAGATTGCATCTCGATAATCCTCCCCATAATCTCTTCCAAGCTCTCAAATCAATTTACATTGGAAGAAAACCTTTCCTCAATCCCAGACTTAATTTGGCTCATCTCTTTCTCCAATTTCATCTCTAAATCTTCTATTTTTTTTGGCTGTTATTCCTCTAAAAAAATGGGTTTTGATTAGGAAGGAGGAGGAACTAGTGTATGCCAAAATCCCAACATCTCAATCACCTCTAAACTGCAAGGTTGTAAGCCCTTAGTCTGTGTCAACTTCTCTGGTGTCGGCTTCCCAACTAGCACTTATCGCAATTGTATCGCAAGGCTTTTGTCCCGTGTCCCTGTTCTCCATGATTTCGATGCTGCTTCCGCTTGATTGAGTCTGTATCGCAAGGTAGTGTGCCACGATCCCATTGATTGTGTCCAACTACCTCTTTCATGCAGGCATGAAGGATTCGGTATGCCAAAATCCCAACATCTGAATCACCTCTAAACTGCAAGGTCGTAAGCCCTTAGTCTGTGTCAACTTCTCTGGTTTCGGCTTCCCAACTAGCACTTATCGCAATTGTATCGCAAGGCTTTTGTCCCGTGTCCCTGTTCTCCATGATTTCGATGCTGCTTCTGCTTGACTGAGTCTGTATCGCAAGGTAGTGTGCCACGATCCCATTGATTGTGTCCAACTACCTCTTTCCGCGACTATGTCATGACTAAGGCATGTCAATCGTTGCTTTCGATTATGTAGGTGGTTCATATATGTTGCAGTCCCGTCGGTCTTCCCCGTAAGCTCCAATCACGTCATGTATCGTGAGGTTCGATCACTTCTGTAAGAGCCGATCCAGTCATTGGTTTCTGACTAGGTTAAATTACGATTGAAACTCACTATATGATGCAAACAATGAAAGGGAGTGATAGTGGGCTGCTGGTTGGTTCGGCTATGATACCAATTTGATACAATTCTTGGCATAAATTAGGGCAATTAATATTTTATTACAAAAACATCAAATACTGAAGACAAATACAATGATAAGCACTTACTATTCGAGAGGTAAGAAATCTCTCCCAAACTTTAAGCTTAAAACTCCACACACGATCTCTTGTATGTCATCAACCCTAAAAATATTAACGCTATGTATACCAACAACAACAATAATAATAAAAAAAGACTAAATTGCTTTTAGGCTAATAAAAAATAAAATTATCCTTAGGCGATGCACCAGCCTAATATGAGCCTTTCTATTCTCATTTATAATAACCAGATGTAAACTTTTCATGTGGATTTGAATGTAAAGACATGAGTTTAAAATCAAAAGTTTTTTGCACATATTTTTCATTTGGTCTGAACTCAATCCACCATCCCTTAACAAGCTCAATGAACAAAGTTTCCAGATATGTCTTGATGGAAATGTTTTTAACCATCTTAAAATAAAGTAAAGAAAAATTCCCATTCTACATACCTTGTTCTCCATCAAAAGCTGTTTATACATGTCTAAGAGAGCTTTTATTATACTAATTATGGTCCTTTGATGCAATCATGTTGAAGTCAAGTTTCTTTGTCTATGATAGGCATATGAATTATGTTTGCATCTCTAACAGATCCATGTCTTATTGGCTTATTTTGCTAGCTTCGACTAGATTTAAATTTTATTTGATAATTATAATCCTTGATCTATATCTTAGTCCTTTTCATCGAACTATGTTATCCTCTTAATCTCATTATTGTATGCAATGCTTCATTTTCTCCTAAACTCCAAAATTATCCCATCTCTGGTACCATTTAATGAGAATAAAAGAAATAATCTAGACGAAAAACCAAGGAAATAACACCAGAATTTAGCGTGCATGGCGAGATCCACCTAGATCCATGGCTTCATAGAGGTATAACTAATCACCCTTCAAAGGTCACTGATGTAAACCCCAGGAATAAATCTGTCTGCATGATACTAATAATATGACTACCAATCTTTGATCATTCTATTAGCCGCTTATTGGACCTTTTCCTCTTATGGTTTGTTAAATGAAGGAGAAGAATGAATGGTTATTTGCAACCATCAAATTCTTCTCCTTTTATAGAGCAACACGGACTTTAATGCATGAAGTGTTATAGTGAATAAGATCTTGGCTTTAGTTGCCTCCAAAACTAGAAATCAAAATAAGATTTAATCAAAATCTTACCAAAGATGTTCTTGTATTTAAAATAGACTTTGAAAACAACTATGAATTAGATAAATATGCACGAATCTGCTACGCTAGTCGCTAGCCTAAGGGTAATATGATTTTTTGTATATCTAATTTAGTCTATTATTCTTATGGTTGTTGTTGTTGAGTATAGATAAACTTATTTTATTTAGGGTTAGGTTTATGCATGAGATATTGTGTCTTGTATCTTAGGTTTAGGGTTTGGGAGAGATTTCCTACTTCTCAAATTGTAGGAATTGGGAGAGATCGCCCATCTCTCGAATTGTAGGTGTTTATCTTCTGCATTCATGTGAGTTTTTAGTCTTGCCTTGCTTTGATTTAGTGTTTAGGGAAAAATTTTTGTGTTTGCACTAATTTGGTGCTGATTTTCACATTGGATCGTATTAGAATCCTACTACTGATTACCAAATGTGTGATCCAATTTTAATGGAATAAATAAAAACAAATACCTTAATCTCTTTTTGAAAGGTAGCGGATAACCATAAAGCTTATTTTAGCGCATCTTATATCCCTTGCATCATATCATCCAAAAATTTTAATGGCATTTTTTAAAAATTATTTATAGGTGCAGTTGCATACATACCACAACATTCTTATGTATTTACATATCTAACATCTAAAAATTCATATTTACCTGCATACCGCTCAAATCTTTAATCCGTCAAATGTTTTACGATATTACCATTACTACCTGTTCAAAAGTGAAACACACATTTTCATGCATCGGTCGATCGCACCTATGTGTATTATATGTAAATATCGAACTTTGGGTGTTAGCTATGTAAACACATAAAAATTGTTTGGCAATGTGTACTAGTATTCATATTCGCTTATATTTTCCTCTATAATGCCTTTTGTAGGATTACGAGTACGCTGGTTTCAACCCTATCTCATATGATATTGCTAACCACTTCTGTGAAATGGCTGCTGACTACCATACAGACACCCCTCATATCTTGGACTACAATAAGTACCCCGGTTCGTACTTGGTGCTAAATATTTACTAAAAAATTGCAATCTTTTAAATTAATTTTGCATGTTTTCTTTGCCAGATCTTGAGGAGCGCAGAAAATTCGTTGAGATGTATCTGAAATCTTCAGGTAAGCTTTTGTGACTTCTTAGCAAGTCATTAAATTTGTTCTGAGACATGTGTAGGAAGATTTGCATACATATCACTCAATTTCTATGTATTTGCATATCTAACACTTAAACTTCAATTTTTACATTTATGCCAACATACCTAATCATGAAAAGGTGTATTTCTCTTTTTTTTTAAAATTAAAATAATGATATTTTTTAAGGGAAAATTACATACATAGCGCCTATTTCTTATGGAGTTACCGATCTCACACCTAAACTTCTGTTTTTATACACAAAGTACTTTACCTATGGATGAAAAGATGTATTTGACTATTAAAAGGTGATAATGAGTGCTGCTTTTCTTATGATTTTTGTAATTATGAAAGTTTAGGTGTAAGGTATATATGAAAGTTTTCTGTGATAGGAAGGATTTGGGTGGTATAAATGTAAACAATAAAGTTTAGATGCTAGATATGTAAATACTTAAGAATTAGGCGGCATGTATGTAAATGTCACAAATTTTAATTGATTTTTTTTATATTGCATTTATCTCAAAGCAATTTTATTTGCTTTGAGATTCGTCTTGTCCAATTCTTATTTTCTCAGGATTTTACATACATACATGCCACCCGAATATATCCAAACTAAATTTTAAACTTTGGCTTTTACATTTATACCACCCGAATATTTTATATCACATAAAAAAACACCACACACCACAGTTTTAACTTTTAAAAAATGAAATACATATTTTCATGCGTAGGCAAGGCGGTATGCATGTAAAATTTGAATTTCAGGCGTTGGATATGCAAAAGTATAAGAATTAAATTGGGGTATGTATGTAAATCTTCCTTTTATATCCCAACGTGGATGTTTAGAATGCTTTTTCCTCTAATTTCTGAAGGTGAAGAACAAACCAAAGAGGAGATTGAGAGCATACTCAACTCAATAGAGCACTACACACTTGCGAGTCATTTAGTCTGGGGCCTATGGGGCATAATTTCGGTAAGCTCTTAAGATTCAATATGTTTTATATGTTTTTGCTTTTTAGTCCTCGTAAAAAAATAATTTTGCTCTGTATATCCATATCAAAATTTGTATGTAATTATCCCCTAAAGTTTTATTTTGCTTTCTCATGCTCTGCACTCGTTGGAATGCAGGAACATGTGAATGAGATTGATTTTGACTACATGGAGTATGCCAGGCAAAGGTTTGAACAGTTCTGGCTGAAGAAAACTGCCATTTTTCAGTCTCAGCCTTTTCAATCTTAGCGTGGATGCATATGTAAATAAATAATTATTTGTTTGTGTTCTTGCCTTGTAACATAACGATCTTATATTTTTCAGTGTGATGGGTGTGCATGTTTGATTTCTCCCCCCCCCCCCCTGGCGGTTTCCCCACGGTAATTTTCTTC